TGAGGAGTTTTGTTTTGTTTTTTCTTAAGATTTTATTTATTTGAGAGAGAGAGAAAGCAGGAAAGTGGCGGAAGGTCAGAGGGAGAAGCAGACTCCTGACTGAGCGCAGAGCCCCAAGGGGGACTCCAATCTGGGACTTCAGGATCATGACCTGAGACAAAGGCAGACACTGACTGAGCCACCCAGCCACCCATTGAGAAGTTTTAACCAAGTAATCAAAGACCTGATAACGACAAAACATAACCTGGTTTTCTGGGCAGACAAAAAAGAAAAAAAGTTTGTTTACAATTTCTTATTAAGAGCAGACCAATAATTCAAGAAAATTTTGTCTTTTGAAAAGAGAGAGAAATTCAATCTTATACCACTGTACTTTTAAAATCCTTTTATTTCAGGGTGCCTGGGTGGCTCAGTCGTTAGGCGTGTCTTCTGCTTGGTCATGATCCCGGGGTCCTGGGATGGAGCCCCACGTCGGGCTCCCTGCTCCGCGGGAAGCCTGCTTCTCCCTCTCCCACTCCCCCTGCTTGTGTTCCCTCTTTCGCTGTGTCTCTCTCTGTTCTAAATGGATAAATAAAATCTTTAAAATAAAATAAAATAAAATCCTTTTATTTCAACCTTCGTCTGTCCTGACCACACCTAAAATTCCTTTCCAAAGATTTCCCTTCACAAACCTTCTACAACTTTCTTTTGCAATTAAATTTTGTCCCAAGCCCTTTCTCCCCAAACAACCATCTTATTTAGGACAAAATTACCTTCTTTGACCTTCAACAAAAATGCATTCCCATTCCTTATACCTTTTTTACACATCTCCTATGTTTCTACATAGAGTTGTTTCCCTTATTTCCATCAGTCTTAGTTACATTTAGCAGAATTTCGCACTCTTAGAAAGCTTACTCTAATGAAGACTAGGTAGTAACCAACTGTGAACTGTTACACCAAAACTCTTTAGAGGGCAAATTTGTGAACCAGTTCAGCACAAAGCATGTTTACCAACAGATTCAAATGTCCCTCGTTTTTTGCAATAAGAAGTCAAAAGTACAAACCTACATTCAGTAATCAAGGCTTTGGTATTTTTATCTCACCGAGAAAAGACCTAGATGTCCAATGAATTCGATCCCATTTACCATCAAGTTTCCCAAAGACTTCGAAACCTTTTTTAACAAGTTCCTATGAGAACTTGGAGACAGACAAGATGAACCATCACTTTAAGTCATCTTTTTGCTAAGTAATTGCAACAGAGGTAACAGGAGCTTTTTTGCCCTTCAGCAAACCTCAAGAGAATAAAAGTTTCACATTTCGGGCTGATACCTTTAAAGACGTGTCTGACTTAATCAAACCAACAAACTTAAATCACTTTCAATACTGAATTATGTTCCACCTGGATCCTCCCCATTGCCAATTTTTACCCGAGACACTGGTGGGGAAATCTGGAGCGGGTGTGGTAGGTCCAGGGGGCGCTCTTCTTCCCTCGTTGATGGCGAGGGGAAAAGGAGCCCTGGTGCCTGAGGCACGGAGGATGGTCTAGAAGCCGGTTCTGCGACTGCAGCCACGGTGGCGGCGCAGAAACAGGAGGTGGGGGAGGGGGAGGCAGAAGAGGAGAAGCGCTGCCAGAAGGCCGAGCAAGCGTTCCCGTTCTAGAGCGCATCAGCTCTGGAGGAGCAGATGCCATGTTTTCCCGCCCACAGGGGAGGATAGGCAGTCCACGTTGGGCCAGAGAAGACAGGGAAATTTCCCCAACACAAAGGGAGTTTCAGCAGCTGCTTGGGAAGATTCCTTAACGTCCCTGCCTCCAGGTAGACTCATCACAGTTGGCTCCAGTCACAGCCATTGACCCGGGAAATGAGTGAGGGAGAAGCCCCCAACTCTATGAGGAGGAGGGACAGAGAGAGAGAGAGTGCGAGTCCCATTTGTCTGGGAGGGCCTGTGTTTCCTCCAGCAACCCGGGCTTACTGGAGGAGGCCTATTTAGATAATTATCATCCAGTATGTCAGGAGGGGGTTTACTAGCCTACACAGTCGGGTAAACACATTCTGCAAGAGGTCCTTAGGTCAGGGCCCTGGGGTAGGGCGATGGAGACCTAGGTACACGCAATGAAGTTAGCTCAGGTCAATTTGCCCCGTTTCCTGCCCAAGAGATCTAAATGATAGATCCCACTGAGGCCAGGCAGCGGTGCAGGAGCTCAGTTCTTTCCTAAATTTTGCAAACCGAATTGTTTCCAGTGGGTGAAAAGGCATCTCAAGGGAGAATCCTTGGGGACTGAAGAAGCTCCCAGGCCTGGAGAAGTCCATTACTGAAGAAAATCCACCCCCCACCCTGAACTCCCGGGTGGTGTCCCACACATAGGATATGTCAGAGGTTCCTGGTGTCAAAGCGACCCAAGGCGTCCCCCAAAACAAATTCGCTATGATCGCTATCACCTTTAAAGACCCCTGTAGGAGGGAGGCCTGCCCTCCCCCCTTCCCCATCGTATTCTGGATTCGATGGGTGCCAGCTATGGACCGAAATACCATGCCTAGAAGGTCCTGTTCACACCTTATTTTACCTTGCCTTGAAGAACCCACTGTTTTTAACCCATGGAGAACACGAGAAGTTTTACAAAGGGAAATTACCCAATTTTGTAGCATAAGTAGTTAGTAGAGGACATAGACGGAAAACAGTGAAGACAGAAATCCGTCATGGTTCTAAGCGGCATTGCAACACAGCTAGTCTTTACAGCCTCCTTCTTGGGAAATGGTCCCCGGGTGGGTTTTAGTTCAACCGGATACTAGTTTTGGCCAGCGCCAAGCGGGGGGGGGGGGGGGGGTCACATTAGACCAATGAGGAGTAAACCTCACATGGGAGCCTTAAGATTGGCAGCCGTCCTGGTGACTTAGGTTGCTATCCTGTGCCCAAGACAACTTTGTATAAGGACAGGAATAAAGAGAGGGCAAAAAGTTTCTCGGTCTCGGGACGCCTGGGTGGCTCAGTCGGTTAAGCGTCTGCCTTCGGCTCAGGTCATGATCACAGGGTCCTGGGATCGAGTCCCACATTGGGCTCCTTGCTGAGCAAGGAGCCTACTTCTCCCTCTGCCTGCCTCTGTCTCTCTCTCTCTCTGATAAATAAATAAAATCTTAAAAAAAAAAAAAAGTTTCTCGGTCTCATTACCATTTCCTCCAGGGTATTAACTTCCAGCCAAAAGGCAGGCTTTCTCCTCCCCATAGAGTAGCCACGGGTGAGAGGACTGCAGCCTAAGCAATGGACAGCAAAGTGTTCCAGTAAGACCCTAATCCTCCAAGAGCCCCTGGAATGAAAGTAAAGGAAGAGGAGAGGAAGTACTCACCCAGTTTGCAGAGAAGCTCAGAGTGCAGAGGAAAAGACTCGAAGCCCCACGTTTGGGCACCACATGATGTAGTTTAGGATATAGGTGAGGTTTCGTGGGGTGAGGTCCGGACCCGATGATGAAGAAAGAATTCTTGAGATGTCTTTGGTGCAAAATGGTGGTTTTATTAAAGCCCAGGGACAGAATCCATGGGCAGAAAGAGAGGCTGCCCCGGGGTTATGCATCTTGCCTCATTATATACTTGGAAGTTGGGGGTAGGGAAAAAGAGAGGTTTTCAAAAGAATTTTCATATGCTAAAGACAACTACAAGATACCGGAGGCCTTCGCCATTGTCAAGTTAAGGTTGTTTTTCCCTTTAGTAGGACATTAACATTAAGACAGTTGGGAACTTCCTGGAACTGGCACACTTATCCCACCCAGCAGTGTGTATGTGTGGGGGGTGTGTTTGCAGGGTGTCAGCTTGTGCTTTGTCCCGTAGCTAGCTTTCTGCTTCCTCATCATTGGCATTAGCATGGGCACGTCCTAGGGAGGAGGCATTATTCTGCCCACCAGCACAGTATGATCTCAGGTGACAACAAAAGTTGGATGCCCCCTCTCTGCCCCCCAATCTTTTCTAATTTCAACAGTCGGGTAAAACTAAACCACTACATCCAGGCGCAATCAAGACAAAGGCAAATTAGAACCCTAGGGCGCTCCATCCATAACCATACAATTGCCCAAGTTCTAGTCTCTTCAGTGTAGTTCTGTTTAGGTTTCCAGACCTGGCTGTTTTCCCTCCAAAGGCCGACCTTGACTGCAGAAATCCCATCCAGGGGGGAAACCCCCAGCGGTGGAGGGAGGTAAGGCGGTGGCAGAGTGGGGAGCCTGGGACCCCACTAACCCCCTGCTGAGAACTCTGAGCCTGGTCTAAGGGAGCAGAAGCGGTGGTCTCCTTTGGCCCTGCCCTCAACAGCGGGATCCTTGGGCGCCTCCCCGCGCGGCCACGAGGGGGCGCGCCGTCCCCGTCCTAGGAACCCGCCTGGGGAAGAAGCAGGCCCCGGGGCATGTTCAGCGTGTGGGTGTTGCGGGCAGGTGTCAGCCCGAGGGCCCAGGGGTTGCGGACTTTTGGTCCTCCCCTCCCCCCCGCAGTGTCCAGGCCTGGGGGAGGCTGTGGGGACTGGTTTGAACTGCACAGGTGCAGCCATGGCACTC